TCATAGCTATTTCTTTAGAATTCCATTTGTTCTATTGATTGAGTACAAGAAACTGCCCATTTACTGATTTCAACTACCCAATAACGTGGTCAGAAATTTGCAATTTGGCCACTTTCACGCAAATTAAAAAATATGCCAATTTCAAAATAGGGTCCAGAATGAACAATGCAGACATTCCTGGCTCTAAAATAACATTTTCTTTGTTCATCAGTCACGTCTCCAGGCCTCTCTGATATTACTCTTGCTTTCTGTTTTCAATTTTTATTCAAACAAAAAAATAGAAGATTTACTGTTATGCAGACTACTGCAATATTGTAATAATTGTATAAATAATGTCAACCCATTCATGACTGCATATCAGAATGGCTACTTGGACATTTATTGCACAATGACATTTGTTTACTTTTGAACATCAGCAAAAATCAAACATTTCCCCTACTTTGAGCTCCATTTCCAGATTCTTTTCATAGTAAAACGTATCAAAATCACCTCTATTTCTATAATATGTTTTCCATTCTATCAAATGAGACCAAGAAAACAAGAATACAACCATAAATACTATACGAAAATACACCACGAAGTTAGCGTTTTAATCCAAAAACATGGTCGGAATTTTTTTTTCTCATTGTGCACTGTGTGCTGCAGGATTTTTTTTATATGGTGCACACTGACCACACAGACCCATTCTCTCACATGTAGGCCTACCAGCTTTCTCCTGCTTGATTTGAAGCCGCTAGAATTTTTGAGTATACAGTGGTCCCTCAATTATCGTCCTTAATCCGTTCCTGGAAGTGGGACTATTTTCGAATCAATTTTCCCCATAAGAAATAATGTAAATCCAATTAATTCGTTCCAGACACCCAGACGTATCAACAATTTTTTTTTTTACCTAAAATATAGATTTACATGCACAAAAGAATGAACATTCAACATGACAGTTACCTTTATTGAAGGCTGTTGTTGAATGGAAGACAGGGAGGAGGAGAGAGGGAAGAGATTATTGTTTGGAAGGGGAATCCCCCTCCATAAGGACTCTAGGTCACTTCCCTAGCATAAATATAGATTTACATGCAGAAAAGAATGCCAAATAAATGTAAAGCACTAATAAAATGTATAAATGAACATTGGTAATAGGGGTAGTTGATGAGTGGAACGGTCTACCTAGTAGGGTGATCAAAGCTAAAACATTAGGTAGTTTCAAATTTAGGTTGGATAAATACACGAGAGAGAGAGGGGTTGGATTTGAGTCGGACTTGCACCTGAGCTTATTGCTTGGGTAGCATTTGTTCTGTTAGTGGGTTGGATTTGTGAAGGACTGGCCTAGTATGGGCCAGCAGGCCTACTGCAGTGTTCCTTCTTTCTTATGTTCTTATTGAAGACTTGTTTGTGTGAGGGAGGGATGGCAAGTTTATTGTTGGAGAATATGACACTAATATCAACTCTACAGCTTATTTATCTATCACAATTCAACTAATATGACATAATAAACAATATTAATAACATAGAAACATGGAATATACTCTAGAATGAATAAAATAAGTCATTATGTATGCCACGAGAGGTGTTGTTGTTGGGTATATAAGGGCCACTGAGAGAAAGCCATCCATAATGGTGGTGAAGCAGCAGCTGAGGCGGCGGTGTTTTCTGTAGCCCTATATAACTACGAAAACATTGGAGGAGTTTGTAGAATCGCTGAATCACTAAAGAAGGCACCATTACTACCACCTTCTACTACTATTACAACTGCTACCACCATCACTACCACCTTCTACCACTATTACAATTGCTACCACCATCACTACCACCCTTCTACCACCATCAACCACTATCACAACTGCTTCCACTCTACCACCACCACCTTTGTATTTTTCTACAAATTTTTTCATAAATTACGTGTTTCTCACATTCTTTACCAAAGGGCTGGCACTAGAAGCTTTCTTTGGAGCCATGGTAGCTTATTTAGCACTTGCAAGCACTAAAATCAATGGAATATTATGAAATATTTCGTAGGAGCAAGTGAGGGGACCGTCGCTCACTGGTAAACAATGGCACACTGGCTGGGAAGGCAGGCCCAGACGGCTCAGAGCGTGAGTACGCGTCCCGGACGAAGGACGATTAGCGAGTTAACAGACCAATTGCGAGCCAATGTTTACATGAAATAACAGGACTATTTCCAAAATGAACGACTTTCAGGTCGGACGATTATTGAGGGACCACTGTATATACGTCAAACACGGTGGCTCGTAAGACGTATATATATACGACTGAAACAGTCAAAGGGTTAACTCAGAGTTAGGGAACTTTGTCACTAATGTTAGAGATGGGATGTTCAGCAAGTTTAATTTTAACAACCATAGAATTGACTGGTAAAAAATAAACCAAGAGCTATCAGATATATCCTGGGAATCAGAGATGAGCACCCAGAAAAAGATCAGATATACAGAGAGCGTAGGAGATGGTATAGAACAAGAAAATGGGTTACGGAAGTGCTTAAAAACACAAATACGTTGAATACAGAAGCATACAAGAAATGTGTGAAGCATGTACCATTGAGAAAACCCAGATCAGATATATATACAGAGAGAGCATAGGAGATAGTATAGAACAAGAAAATGGGTTACAGAATTGCTTAAAAACACAAATATGTTGCAACAGAAGAAAGGCAGGCTTAGCTGAGAGATCACTGAATTAGAGCAAAAACTTAGGATATCATACCTAACAGAAGAAGTATGAAGGGAACAAAGGGCCATACAGGATATTGCAAGAAACCCAAAATATTTCTAAGGATTTCTATGCAAAATCCAAGCTAAGAACTACCTGTAGAATTCGACCACTATTGAGAGGAGATTCGTATATTGACGATGAACAGGAAATGAATGAAATCCTAAAAGAACAGTATGAGTCGGTGTTCAGCAACCCACTAAATGACAGGAAGGTAGAAAATGCAAAAATATTTTTCACTCCAGCAGAAGGTTGCAGACCAACTGACTGACATTAGTACCAATCCCATAGATTTTAAAAAAGAAATGGACAACATGCCCACTCACTCAGCACCTGGACCATATTCATGGAATGCTCTATTTATAAAGAAGTGCAAAGTACCACTAGCACGAGCCCTCAGATTCTTTGGAAAAAAGAGCTTAGATCTAGGTGAAATACCAGAGGCCTTAAAGAGTGCAGACATAGCTCCTTTAGCTAGAGCACTAGCTAAAAATTATAGACCAGTAGCCCTAACTTCTCACATCATAAAAATCTTCAAAAGAGTGATGAGACGGCAGATTACAAATTTCATGGACCAGCATAACCCAAACCAGCTATCTTTCCCTCAGTGATGGTCACTTGCTCTTTCTGCTTTTGTGTCCTACCACTCTTTTTTGGTAATATTGACGAGTTAAAATTGCATATCAATTTGAAATCTGACAAAAATGAAGTGAAAGTCATTCTTCAAAGCACTTGTAAACAGCTAAGTGTCATTTGTATACTTATTGGTATTATGTACAGTACCATTTAAGAGTGTAGGTTTCAAAACTTTCTTTCCAAAAAATAAACCTCCAGTTAACCCTTTGACTGTTTCAGGCCCCTTTCTAAAACTGTCATTCTATGTCGATAAATTTTTGAAAAAAAAAAAAAAAAAAAATTATTTTTTCTTATGAAATGATAGAGAATGTTTTCCCGATGGTAATGACACCAAAAGTATGATATTTGGTCGAAAACTCATGGAATTACGCTCCCACGAAGTTAGCAGTCTCGGCGACATATACGTATCGGCGATTTCGCTGACTTTGAGCCCTGTTTATAGCCAATTCCGTTGTTCCAGTCAACCAAACTCATAGCTATTTCTTTAGAACTCCATTTTATCTATCAGTTGAGTACAAGAAACCGCCCATTTACCGGTTTGAACTACCCAATAAAGTGGTCAGAAATTGGCAATTTGGCCAATCTCACACAAATTAAAAAAGATGCCAATTTCAAAATAGGGTCCAGAATAAACAATGTAGACATTCTTGGCACTAAAATAACATATCCTCTGTTCATTAGTCATGTCTCTAGGCCCCTCTTATATTACTGTTGCTTTCTATTTTGATTTTTTATTCATACAAAAAAATACAAAATTTACTGGTATGCAGACTACTGCATTATTGTAAAAATGGTATAAATAATATAAGTGCACTAATGAAAGAATATTAGACTCCCCAGTTGACATGTACTGGACTTGTGGTGTGATTTGCTTACTCCTGAACATTGGTAAAAATCGAACATTTCCGCTACTTTGAGCTTAATTTCAAGGTTGTTTTCATCGGGAAAGTAATCAAAATCATCTCTATTTCTGTAATATGTTTTCGATTTTATCACATGAGACCATGAAAACAAGAATACAATGATAAATACTATATGAAAATACACCTTATCAAAGTCGGCGTTTTAATCCAAAAAAACGGTCATTTTTTTTTCTCATTACTCACTGCGTGCTGCAGGATTTTTTTTATGTGGTGCACACTGACCACACAGACCCATTCTCTCATATGTGGGCCTACCAGCTTTCTCCCGCTAGATTTGAAGCCGCTAGAATTTACGCGTATTAATACGTCAGAAACAGTGGCGCGTAAGACGTATATATACGCCGTAAACAGTCAAAGGGTGATATGATTATCTCTGGATTATGATAATTCCAGGACAAAAGGTTCCAGGAAAACAGTAAGCCAGAAAAAGTGGAAGTACATAAAAATATAGAGGAAAAACATACAAGCTATTCTTAGCAGGAAAACTTAAGGATGTAAGCAATATTAAAATATAGTTTAAAATTAATAAAATGCTCTAAATTAATTACCAAGAGTTATTTATGAAAGAATAATTATATACACATTACTGTATGTGTGCTTCTGACAAGACAGTGATAATGTGAATGATGGTCACAGTTTCTTTTATAGGTCATCCTGCCTCAGTGGGAGGTGTACTTATCATCATTCATTTTGGATATTTTCTATTTCAGCAGCTTTTACCTTGTTGTGCTTGGGTACTGCCAGCAGGTGATGACCCAGAACGTAATCCTAAAATCTGTATATAATTAGCTGGTACCAGTCCACAGGTAGTTCCATTAGATGCTAGTAACCATCCACGAACATTGGGCTGCTGGTCCTTTGGTGCCAAGAACAGGGATTGTCCAGCTCTAAAGCCAAGTTCATTTCTGTTTTCAGCCTGAAAAAGAGTGCAAGATTGTCAGCATTATTTGTTTGCAGTATTACATATGCTAATATTCTCATCTTTAAGTTTAAATACCTGCAAGAAGATAGCCAAAAAGAAAGACATCATAATCATTCTACTGGAGTATCCCTTTCTAGCTTATTTCATTCTACCACCATGACATGGATATGAAAGTGGCACATTCATATTATCACATCTTTGTCATCATCATATCCACACTCGAACTGCAAAGTACAGTGGATCCTCGACTTACGAGTTTAATCTGTTCTGTGACCTAGCTCGTAACTCAATTTGCTTGTACAGTATATCAAATCAATTTTCCTCATTTATATTAACTGAAATGCCATTAATCCATTCCAGCAAAATTCCTGCTCTCGGGAGGCAGGACAAAATACATCAATATTATATTGATATCAACCTACAACTTATTTATCTATCACAATTCATCTAATATGACATAATAAACAATATAAATAACATAGAAACATGATATATACTCCAGAATGAATAAAATGTCATTATGTGACTAGTGGTGGCAACATTTCCACTACTGCTCTGACCATATCTTCCCATGCTCTTATTATAAGAGAAAACAGTGTTTGTGAGGCTAACTTCACTAGATCACTAGTTTCATAAGAAAAACACCAAAACAATACATTTATAAATAAATAGTATAAAAACATAATAGAGAATGTAAAGAAATAAAATGGTTTTATTAAGTGTACGTACATACTTACGTACCTAGGAGAAGAGATGGTGGCGGAGGTTGAGAGTGGAAGAATAATTACACAGCGGTGTATACTGTCAGTGGCCCTATAAACTCCATCATCATTATTGGAGGAGTTTCGTTTTGTCCTTTTTCTATTGCTTAATCGCTTGACTTACTTGCTACACTCTTAATGCTACACTTTATCGCTGAACTTAACTGCAAGCAAGCTTTCCCCGCTTCCCTCTCAACCCACAACCCGCACAATTTGTTAGTTTGTCTATGATTTCATGCTTTAATTCCATGGAAATCATCATCTTTTTCTTCTCAGCACTGTCCTTTGCACTTACTTTCTTAGGACCCATGGTTAGAGAAAAGAAATTTGGCAAAATAACTAAAAAATGCAAGCGAAGCATGAGAGAAATGCTTCCACGGCGAGGTAAACAGTGCGCTGCGCCAACTAGTGGCGGTGTTCTGAAACTCATTATTATTATTAAACGAGGAGCTTCAGAACACTGCCACTAGTTGGCGCAGCACACTGTTTACCTCACCGTGGAAGCATTTCTCTCGTGCTTCGCTTGCATTTTGTAGTTATTTTGCCAAATTTCTGTTTTCTAACCATGGGTCCTAAGAAAGTAAGTGCAAAGGACAGTGATGAGAAGAAAAAGAGGATGATGTCCATGGAATTCAAGCACAAAATCATAGATGAACCAACGAGGTGTGCAGGTTGTGGGATGAGGGGGAAGTGGGGGAAGCTTGCTCGTAACTTGGATGTTGGCTTGTAACTCAGAGCAAAATGTCGACCTAGTAATGGCTCGTATCTCGAAAAACTCGTAGGTTGGGACACTCGTAAGTCGAGGTTCCACTGATTAGTATATCTCATAATCTGCTCCATAACTACATTATTCCATAGTCATTACCAATTGATTATTAAAAAATGTTTCGTATGAATGCGCAGGGTAATGTTCACTTGACGAGAAACAAAGCCAGACTGATTCGGAATGCGTGCATGGGATGCTTTGTGTGGGTGCACGCAGATGGACACGTTCGGTACAGTGGATGAAAACCAAGGTGATGAATGAAAACTGGGACAATATTTTGACAAAAACAAGTTGTCAAAAACCAAATTCGACGAAGACCAGGGCAAATGAAAACCAAGGTTCCACTGTACTTTTAATAACTCCACACCTCCTAATTTCCACACTATGAATTCTCTGCATAATATTTACACCACTGCCCTTAGACACATCATCTCCACTGCCTTCAGCTGCTGCTGTGCTGCAGCATTTACAACCTATGCTTCACACCCATATAAGAGTGTTGGTAACACTATACTTTCATACATTCCCTTCTTTGCCTCCATGGATAACTTTTTATGTGTCCACAGATACCACAAAACACCACTCACCATTTTTCCTTCATCAGTTCTATGGTTAACCTCATCCTTCATAAACCCATCCACTGATAAGTCAACTTCCAAATATCTGAACACATCACCTCTTCTATACTCCCTCCCTTCAATGTGATATCCAATTTTTATTTATCTAAATCATTTGATACCCTCATCACCTTACACTTATCTATGTTCACTTTCAACTTTCTGCCTTTACCCACCCTAACTCATCCACTAACCTTTGCAATTTTTCTTTAGAATGTCCCAAAAGCACAGTGTCATCAAAAAAAAAAAAAAAGTCAACTCTCATTTTGTATTTGATTCCCCATAATTCAATCTCACCCCTCTCCTGAACACCCTTGCATTTACTTCTTTTACATGCCATCTATAAATATATTAAACAACCATGGTGACATTACACATCCCTGTCTAAAACTAACTTTTACTGGAAAGTAGTCTCCCTCTCTTCTACACACCCTAACCTGAGCTTCACTATACTCATAAAACTCTTTACAGCATTTAGTAACTTACCACCTATTCCATATACTTGCAACATCTGCCACATTGCTCCTCTATCCACTCTATCATATGCCTTTTCTAAATCCATAAATGCAATGAAAACTTCCTACCTTCATGTATATACCGTGCACTTATATGCTTCACTGTAAACACTTTATCTACACATCCCCTACCCATTCTAAAGTCTCCTTGTTCATCTGCAATCCTGCTCTCTGTTTTACCTCTAATTCTCTCATTAAAAACCCTACCATACACTTTACTTGGTATACTCAGTAAACTTATTCCCCTATAATTTTTACAATCTCTTTTGTCCCCCTTCCCTTTATATGAAGGTACTATACATGCTTTCTCCCAATCCCTAGATACCTTCCCTTTGTTCATTCATTTGTTAAACAAAAATACCAACCAACCACTAATGCTATCTCTCTCCCAGCTTTTAACATTTCTGTTATGATCCCATCAGTTCTAGACATAATAGTTAATTACAGTAGTGAATTAAAACTTGACTCACTAAGGGAATGCCTGTCTTAAGTTATGGCTTAAGATCTTAGGCTACCTTACAGTGAAGGGTATCCTCATTGAGGTTTAATGTCTCACTGGTGAAAATCACAACCCCCATTTCTTTCTCCCTCTTATATACTTTGAAGGGCTGTAAAAGTATAAAAAATACAAAAGAGGAAGAAGTGTATTGTACATTCTTTCTTAAATTCTTTAAATACAGTGGAACCTTGGTTTTTGTATGCCCTAGTTTTCGTACGATTCGGTTTTCAACGACTTTTCTCGTCAAAGTTTTGTCCCAGTTTTCATACGTCCGTTCAATTTTTGTACAGTTGAAAATGGTCCGTACCAAACTTGTCCACCTACCGACGTGACTCAGCCACTCATTTCCCAGAATCAAGGGCCCACACAAAGCATCCCATACGTTTGTGATTTTGAAGGGTTTGAGGCTGACCCTGATGACCCTACGCCTGTTGTGGAATCTATTGTGTCTTTTTGTGAGTCCATGGGGTTGGATGTGAGTGGCCAGGATGTGGAAGAGTTGGTGGATGGCCACAGGGAAGAGCTATCCACTGAAGAGCTGCAAGACCTTCAACTGGAACAGCAACAGACTGCAGCTGAGGAAATTGCTTCAGAGGAGGAAGAGAGAGGGAAGAATGTGCCTTCTTCAGTGATTAAGGACATGTGTACAAAGTGGAATGAGTTGCAAAGTTTTGTGGAGAAATATCACCCTAACAAAGCTGTTGCAAGCTGTGTCTGCAACATGTTCACTGACAATGCCTTGTCCCATTTTAGGCAAATCTTAGAAATGCCAGAAACAGACCTCTCTGGACAGATTTTTTGTGCAATGGGTCCAGTGACTCGAGCTGGTCGTAGTGCCAGTAAAAGACAAAGAAGGGAAGTAACCCCAGATAGGACCTTGATACCTAAATTCCCTATGGACGGGGATTCCCCTTCCAAACAATAACCTCTCCTCCTCCCTCTCCCCTCTTCACCATCTTCCATACTCCAACAAGAGTCTTCAAGAAAGGTAAAAGTGATGTTAAATGTTCATTTATCCATTTCATTAGTCATTAATATTTCTCATTGTTTTCTGTATGTAAAACTACTGCTATTCTCTAAAAAATGTATTTTTTGTTAATATTTTTGGGTATCTGGAACTGATTAATTAGATTTACATTATTTCTTATGGGAAATGTTGCTTCGGTTTTCGTATGATTCGGTTTTCATCAGACTTCTTTAAACTGATTAATCACAAAAACTGAGGTTCCACTCTATGTATACATGGAGATTTGCAAATACTGTATACAAATATTAGAGAGTTGTTACTATAAGTATCTCCCTTTTAACCCTTTCAGGGTCCGTCCCGTAGATCTACAGCTTCACAGTGTCCAAGCCGTAGATCTACGCCAAAATTCTAGTGCTGTCAAAATTAGCACGAAAACGCTCATAGGCCTACATGTGAGAGAACGGGTCTGCGTGGTGGGTGTGCGCCACAAACAAAAAATCTAGGCGCCCGCATAGCATTGTGGGAACGCTGGCTCAGTTACCCTTGTTCACCATGCCTCGTCGCAAGGCAGCTCTCACTCCAAGGAAAATTGGGACTCTCCTCTTCCTATCTGATAGTTCTGACACTAATGGAAGTGGAAATGAAGATGAATTCTTTGGCTTTGATCAGTTAGTGACCGAAAGGAATGACCAGGATATCGATAATAGTGCAGAAAACCCTGACGATCCTCAACCTTCTACCTCTGGTGTGGGCACTCGTCAGTCACGGTCAGTTGTACCTCAACGCAAGAGAAAACTATTATTTTCGCGTGGCCAGGCCTCTGACTTCAGTAATGATGATGATAGTGACGTGGATTGTGATTTTATTGC